AAAGCCCTCAGGCCAAAGTCCAGTAGCCTACAGGGCTGCAGTGAGGCCTAGCCGGGGACCCTCAAATCAGTCCTCACTCCCAAAGACCCCCATGTGTGTGTGGCCCAGAGCAAGAACTGGGCTCCCAGGGGTTTTCAGGGAAGACCACCAGGCCTTTCTTCCTGGGTACCGACCAGTAGATTTGAACCACCAACGTGAGGGTTAGGCTCATCCCCCGCCTAAATGCTCCTACTAGAATAAAATTTGGTGGTTGGCAAATTGTCCTCCTCGGAAATGACAGTGTTGATTTGTACTTTCCTTAATCCACTCTAGGAAGCTTCCTAGAGCCCTCTTCTGGAATCCCGCAAGGGTCCCATTGGACCACCACTGGGAGGGGGTTGCCCAGAGGGATCAAGAACAGAACGTGGCTCATCTGTGGGCAGAAACCTGATACTCTCACATCCCACTGAAATATGGAATGCTAACACACAAACACCTCTTTGCCGGCCCCCCATCGGCACTGTCCACGTGGCTCCTTTAGAAGGTCCCTAAAATGGTGGGTGCCACTCAGCGAGGCCTGGGGATTCTCCAGGTGTCAGCGGGGGCCTCTCGTCACAGCGCGAGGCAGCTGGCAGGGAGGGCGCCCCTGTGTTGGCTGGTCTCTGTAGACGGGCGTGTCATCGGGTGCCGGCTAGGTTGTGTTGCACGCCCCTTCCCCTCCTGGCCACCCACCCCACCTGAGAAATGCAAGGGCCAGATGCCACCAACTCACTGGGCCCCCTGGGGCTTGGGGAGAAGACAGTGTGGGGTCAGGGTAGTGGGGAAGGGATGGGCTTGCACCCACGTGTGTCTGGCCGAGGGTTGGCCATGCGCTCGGAAGGGCAGCCTTAAGCTGTCTGGCCCCCCACTCCCCTCCCGCCCATGGTCACCAGCGTTTGTCTTCTTAAGAGTTCATGGGCGAAGCTGCCTTCCCTAAGGATGTCCTTCTGCCCCAGTCACATGCATTCTTTCAAGGAAAAAAAAAAGAGAGGGGGAAGGGGGGGGGGAAGGTCGCCATCCAGTGGAGGAAAGAGTAATTCCCGCTCCATTCAGGAAAAATGCAAGCTGAAATATGGTTTAACTCTTTGAACCTGGCTGAGAATTTGGTTGCCACCTGGCATCCGGGGACCTGGTGGGCGCGTGTACCTTTAAGGAAAGAGGTGCCCCCCACCCCGCCCCACTTTACTCCCCACGTTCCTTGCAGTTTGCGCGTGTGGATTGGTTTTGTTGGCTTTTTTTTTTCTTTTCAGCCCCCCCCCTCCGTAGGGCAGGAAAGTGTTAATTTCTTATTTGTACACTTCCCCCCCACCACCACCACTTCCTGCCTATTCATTTCATTAAATCTGGCGGCTTCGGGGCTGGGGAGCCGCCTGTATGTTGAATTAGGGCTGCACTTGTGGGCAACCCGTCACCAGTCGGAAATCGGGGGGTTTGCGTCTTTGATTTATTTCATTTTTGTGCTGGTAACAAGGTTTGGAAGGGAACTCTGGGTCGGGTAGGACTTTGAGCAGTGCGTAGCAAGTTTGCTGGTTTAAAGAAAACAATGATGTGCCCCCCCCACCCCGTCCCTCCCCTAGACCCCCTAGCATTGAGTTAAGTCCGTTGGAGACAAAAAAAGAGAGAAAATTCTTTTTTACAATTTTTTTTTTTGGGTTGTTGTTGGAAAAAAGAAAAAGCAGTTTAAAATCGCCATGAATTATTCTACTTACGTGCGGGCGCGTAAGGGTGCTCTACTCCAGAAGTACTGGAAGCCCGGGCGGGGTGCGCGGTGCATTTGCATTAGAAAACGACCCCGCTGGGTCCCGGGGCTGGAGGCGCGGCCTGGGGGGACTTTGGGGGTCTGGGGGGAGGGGACGGGAGGCCAGCAGGGCAGGAAGGGGCTTCGTGGCGCTGCATTCCTGCATGAAATCGGAGCCCGGGGAGCGGGAGGGGCCGCCCTCTGCGCGCCTCTCTCCTTCCCAGCCCCAAATTTCCCGGGATCGGCACGCACCAGCCATTGTCATAAAACACCGGCCCCGGCGCCCCGCTCGCTTCTCGCTGCTTAGCTGCGACTCCCCAGATTCTCAGGCTGAGAAGCCCAAATAGCAAGGACGCATGCTTCGTTTGTTATTTTCCTTTTTCTTTTTTCCCCTCTTTTGGTAAAATTCAGGGGAGGGGGCGTGCAGCTGAGAGTAGGAAAACCCTTGTTCACAACTCCCCCCACCCCCACCACCTTCATTTATTCCACGGTGGGGGGCGGTGGGGCGAGGGCGGGGGGACGCGGGGAAAAGAAAAAAGAACAACAATGAAAATTTTTACAGCGTGAAACTGAAAGCGGAGAGTCTCGGCGGTTCGGGATTTTTTTTCCTTAAAGAGAAAGGATAGCATAAATGTCGAGTCAAAAATATGGGGACCTCCGGAGCCCAGCGCTTTTATTTACAACCCTAGAAAGAGAGGGGGAGGGGGGAGGTTCGTCTTTTATTTTTGAAAACCTTCCCCGATTGCGCCCAAGCCACGCAGTCAGTGCCCCCAAAGCCACGAAAAAGGAGGTTTAAATCAATTGTAAAAGGAAACATTATACCTTTCTTCTTTTTTTTAAAACAAAGAACAAAATCGGAATATTAATTGATGTTCTTATTGGCTTAATTATTTATCAGCCACCACCCGGGCTTTAAAAAGGGGGGGGGGGATGCCTTAAATCTGCTGCTTGGAATAATAAGGGGGGGAAAATATGATAAGTAGTTGTCAATATTAAGAGGCTGGAGGAGGGAGGCTTTGGGCCTTGTAGTGGAGAGAATGAAACAGCAGATTTTGAGCACCCACTTTCAGTATTAAATTTTCAGTAAAATAAAATTACTTGTATACGAAAACATAGCACTTTCCCAGCTCTCTCTTTTTTCCTGATCAGCTGATGAAGAGACTAGGAGCTCGCTGCTTTGCCGGCTTGTTAATTTTATCCCCACTAACTGTGATTCCCGATAGCAGGAGGCCTGCTGAGAGTGGTGAGGTAAATATCTTTTGTCCTTGCTGTCTGGAAGATTCAGGAGAAGGACCGCCCAGGCGTGTGCAGATGTGGGACACGTCGGAAGTTGGTGCTCGGCCGGCCGGGTTTCTGTGTGTGCAGCCGGGTGCTGGAGGGGGAGCGCGAGCATTGCCGATTGACAGCCTTGCATGCTGGATTTGTTATTAGCATGCTCAGCCTCCAGATTTGCAGGAGGAGGTGGGGGGGGATGGGGGTGGGGGTGGGTTTCTGGGGACCACGGGCTTCTCATCTTCACGGAGCTGCAGTGGGTTTAGGCAGAGAGAGGGTGTCTTGCTTGTGGGCAAATTAATATTAATGAAATAATGTGGAATTTTTTCTTGTAGTTTGCATTTTTCCTTTGCAGCCCCCCAACTCCTTAGCTTCCTCCTCCTCCTCTTCCTCTGTAGTGCTGCTCTGAACAAGGGGAACGGTGATGGGAATTGGCTTTTGACTGTTAGGCCTAGGCTGAGGCTGGCCCCAAGGGGAAGCTCCGTGTTCATGTTGCGTTCCGGGTGTGCAGGTTGCAGGGGACACAGGACCCCCCCCCCTGCTTTGTAATCCCACTGGCATCTTGCAGTCACCAGGTTGGTTCCTTTCTGCACCAGGTTCTCGTCGCCAGCCTGTCCCTTTGCAGGCAGCATTGTACACAAGTGAAAGAAATTATGTCTGAGCCGTAATCACCCTCTATATTGATTGTTATACTCACATGATCATAAATATTAGCCATGTTTGGTGCTGTGGAGAAATGAAGGTAATTGCCTTGTGATTAGAACGCTTTTCAGCTCCCAGAAAGGATGGATTAGCATTTGCATACTGGAGGCAATATTGAGAGGCAGAGAAGCAAATGACAACATTGGTTACTTGAGGGGGGGGTGTGCAGGGGAGGAGGGGGTGAAGGGGAAGAAGAAGAGGGAGGAGGATAAAAAAGAGCAATTTTGAGAGATTAATTGCAAGAATTTTTTTCCCCTTCTCATTTCTTTTCCACGGTCAGCATTTCTTGTGTTTGTATTCTGGATTCCCCCCCACCCCCTCTTTTTTTCCTCGTTTTCCTGAAGTTTTGAGATGTACCCAAGAAGTGGGGGGGAAGTTTAAACTTCTGGATCGAGCGTGTGGACCTTGTAGCCCTTTGTAAGCAGGTGTTTTTGCTACCTGGTGGCTTTATAGCTCTTTGATTATTTCTCTGCATTAGTGGTGCTGGGCTCTGGCTTAAAGCAAACGTTTGCAGGTAATTGTAATTGGGAGAGCAAGGGGGGGAAATGTTTGTTGTTTGTGCATGTGTGTGTGTGTGTGTGTGTGTCTTTGATCTCGGGTTGAAGGGCTTTGACCAAGAAACATGGTTTTGAATGTCCCTGTTTCTCTGGCTTTGGCGGCGTTTTTTTGTTTTGTTTCCTAATGAAACATAGATGACATTTTGGCTCATGTTGTGAATCATAAAGGAATAGATTCCAAACCGCCAGGAAGAAAAGGTGGAGGCTGGTAGGATTTTAAGGATCGCTTCTTTAGGACATTGTTGGGGTTTTTTCCTTCACCTTCCCCCCACCACCACCCCTGCTCCCCTTTTTTCCATGGATTATTTGCCCTTCTTCCCATTCCTACATTAGTGAGACAATTAAGGTCTTTTTCTTAAGGTTGAGCTAAAATTTCACTGGCATTCTGTTCTCCTAAAAGACTTGACTCTTCAGGTCCTTGTGTAGGGCCTTCGTCCTTGCTGTCAGTGTCTCGGGACCTTCCAGAGAGTTTGCTGATGGAACAGGCTTGGGGGTGGCAGGGGGAGAGACAAGCATTTATTCCACACATGGTGGTGGCCTTCGGGTCTGCTCCTCGGCTGAGTTCATGGCTGTGAAGTTTCCGTGCGTGGGAGTGCATTTTGTTTTGTAAACTGCGTTCAGTTGGTATGTTTTCAGGGGTGACGAGGAGGTTGTCATGGTTATTTATCGATGGTTGTCATGAAGTGTCTCCCCCGTTGTGTCCCCTTGAACAGGCCATCGAAGACGGCAATCTGGAAGAAATGGAGGAGGAAGTGCGGCTGAAGAAGCGGAAGAGACGACGCAACGTGGTGGAGAGAGACCCCGCCGTGAAAGAGGACGTGGAGAAGGCCAAGAAGCGGCGAGGCCGGCCTCCGGCGGAAAAACTGTCCCCCAACCCCCCCAAACTGACCAAGCAAATGAACGCCATCATAGACACGGTGATCAACTACAAAGACAGGTGAGTGCGCCCTTCACCTGCCCCGGGCCTTTCTCTCTGCCACCGCGAGGAGAAGAGCAAGCGGGGCTGGCCAGGCTGGGTTTGGGCACTTGTCACGCTCCGGGGACTCCTGAAGTCCTGTGAAGTGACCCCCCCACCACCACCCAGGGAGCCTATTCCAGATGGCCACCACTGCCCTGCACTGCTGCACCCAGGGTTAGCTTAGCAGATGAAGGGACTTCACAAAGCATGTGGGAGAATGGAATTGAAAGGCAAGGGAATTTTCCTGCAAACCTTGGGAAGACCCCCACCCCCTCCTATGTGGAAATGGGAGCTTCTCTTTTCTTTTACAAAAAAAAAAATATCTAAACTCAGAAGAATGGTTAAGGACCCTTGAACTACCATCATTTGGAACAGACACAAAAAACAAATTTTTTTCCTTTTTTTGTTAAACTGAATTGTGGCAAAATGAATCTAAGAGCACAGCTCGGGCCCATATGAGGGGGCTTTCACAAAAATGTGTGTGGAAAATGGAATTTGAAAGATAATGGAATTTTCCCAGAAGTATCTGGAAGCCCCTCCTTATATGGTCCCATGAAGGCTCTGTTTATAACCACACAGATGCCCCGCGGAAAATATGATGACCTAGTTCTTCCCCCAAATGCTTGAGTTCCTGAGCCGTCTGAGCCACCTTCCCCCAGCATAGTCAGACGACTGCTCATCTTGACGGGTCAGCAGATGAACCTTTATTTCCGCCTGCAGCGCCTGTCTGCTGAAGGGACAGGTCAGCGCCTTGAGTCTGCCCAGTGGCTCTGTGGAAGACCCAGTCACCAGCTCCCAGAAATGTCCCCAGGCTGGGGGCCACCCTGTGGGACTGTCCTTGTCGGCCTGCTGGGACCGCCACTGGTCATTGTCAACTCAGTGGCTCTTCTGAGCTGTCACTTCTTACTTAAGGGCCCTTTGGATGCGAACTTGATAGAGACCTGTTAGAATCCAGAAACCATTTGAAACAAAGAGCAGCAGAGATTTGAAACCCAGTAAAGACGGCCCTAGGCTGTGCTGCAGTAGATAACCTAACTAGATTTGGTTAGGGGACTTGGTTCCCACTTCATCAGCCTATGAGGACCTTTGTGTTTGTGTTTTTTAATTTGAACATTCCCACCTGTTTCAGTTGGGGATATATATATATATGTATGTTGGGTTTAGAGATAGATATATATATATATCCATCTCCAAACCCAACCTATGCATTTTATTTCTCTAAATTGTATAATGGCATTAGTTACGATGGCAATTAATTGTATGATGGCAAAAAAAAAAAGCTTGATGTTGATGACGTTGCACCGTCTACCATGGTGAATCATGAGCTGGGCTGCTCACTCACTACACAGTCAGCAGTTCAAGACCACCCGCTGCTCCAAGGGAAAGAGAAGAGGCTATCTGCTCCCCATAAAGATTCACAGCCTAGGAAATCCCAGGGAAGAGTTCTGCTCAGTCTCACCGGGTCACCATGAGTTTGGATTGTTATAGACCCTCAAGCGTTTTAACACAAAGAGCCCTGATGGCATCCGTGTTACGCATTGGGCTGTGATCTGAAAGGTCAGCAGTTCAAAACCACCAGCCTCCCTGTGGGAGAAAGACAGGGTTTTCAGTTATTATATCTCAGAAACTCCTGGAGACAGGTCTGCCCTGCCCTGTTGGGTCACTATGAGTTGGTAACAACTCGATGGCAGTGAGTTTTAACACAAGTAAGTTTCTGTACTTCAGTCTGTGTTTTCTTCTGAGAGGAAACCTCATTCTAAAGCCTAGATAGTGTTGGGAAAAAACGCACTAAACCCTGCCCCTTGGGGCTCTGTGTCGGAGCAGTCCAGATTGCCCGTCACAAGTTTGCAGAGAAGGTGAGTGGGGAGGTGGGGGAGGTAGGAGGCGTTTTGTGTGAACGGGTCAAAGTTCTTGCCCCTTTGGACCAGCCTGCTCCCTCTCCCCTTGTGCCAAGGTGCCTTCCCTCCCCAGAGCCCCACAGCACCCCCAGGTCACCCACCCCCAGGGGACTGAACTTGGCTGAGCTCCTCAACAACCCAGCAGAGAAACTCCAAGCACAAGTCCATTCTGTGCCCGGAGCGAACAGCGCTTCCTGGAAACCCAGGAATCAGTGAATCCCAAGTGTGTCACTTCTCTCTTCACCCCCAACCCCAACCCTCCTGGCAGACAGGCTCACGGTCAGGACATTGCGCAGCAAGACAATTAGGCTTATTTGGTCAGCCCCTTGTGTAAAGAAATGACAGTGCTCAGCAGAGAATACCACCCCACCCTGAGGGTCTCAGGAGAGTGAACTGCCCTCTTGGGGAGGCCAGTGCCTGCCCCTGGTCTCTGATAGGCTGTTTGCGCTTCGCCTGCCAAGTGGGCCCAGGCTGGTGGTCAGCAAGACCTGGCTGTGATCACAGGCCGAAGGCCAGTTCTTCCTCTGAGGATGTAAGAGGCCACCTGGTCTTTGGTGCCCTGTCATGTGAAAATTGAGAGAGAAAAACCGAGAGGCAGAGAGAAGTCTTAGAAAGCTCCAGCTGTCTCTGTTGTGTTTTGTTTGAAACCTCTGTGTCTAGTGCAGCGGCACCCTGTCCACCTGTCTCTCGGGAAACAACCAGTGGGCAGAGCTGGCTGCCCCCATGGTCAGGGGTTACCCTGCTCTCTGGGCTGTCACTGCCCCAGCACTCTGTGACCCTTCTCTCTGCGTCCTGGAGTGCCACTGGCCTGTCCTCATCCACCCGCACACCCGGCTGTGTGCCTAGAGGCGTTCAGTCTGGGGCTGCCCAGACCCGGGCTGGCCACTTTCTTAGCTACCACCCCAAGATGGACAGTGGGCTGAGGCCACAGCAATACATGTCTCATGCGTTCATGGTGGGCACCCCCACTGATCAGAGGAGAAACAGCGCAGGGAGCCCTGGTGTCGTCGCAGGGCTGCTGATTATGAGTTCAGCAGTTCGGAACCACCAGCCGCTCCTCGGGAGAAAGATGAGGCTTTCTACTCCTGTAAAGAGTGACCGTCTCAGAAACCCACGGGAGCAGTTCTGCCCTGTCCTCTAGGGTCGCTGTGAGTTGGCATCAGTCGATGGCAGGGAGTTGGACCTTTTGATAAGAAGCCCGGGCTTCATTGAACAGTCGCTCACCTGCTCACCAAACACTGCGCTCTGTGGGAGAAACCACAGGTCCATCAGCTCCCACGAGGCCCTGTGGGGCCACTTTTGTTGGAATGAACTGGCCCCCAGACCCCTGACAGGGGCGTGGCCCGCCGAGGACATTTATCCGGCCCGCCCCGTGTTTTTTGCCCCGTTTATTTTTTTACTTCCAAATAAGATAGGTGCAGTGTGCGTAGGAATTTGTTCAGAGTTGTTTTGTTTTGTTTTAAACTACAGTCCGGCCCTCCAACAGGTCTGAGGGATCGTGAACTGGCCCCCTGTTTAAAAAGTCTGAGGACCCTGTCCTAGAGGGTTGTCACCGAGCACAGCGGCTGAGAGCAGCAGCCCCATCCTGCACTGGGACACTGACTCCAGTTCCAGCTGACCTTGAGCTTCGTGCCCTACGGTAGTGCAGGCCCAGTGAATACAAGCCCAGGTGTGGACCGAGTTCATCGAAGCCAAGCTCTCAGAGGCGTTGAGTGGCTGCGGGTGGGGGGCAGTGTTTCAGACCCTCTGTAGATAACCCACCAGGGAAGCTCTGGACTGCCGAATCTAGAATGAAATGCCCCTGGCCGGTACTGGCTTCCAGATTTTCTCTTCCCCAAACCAAAAAACCTTCTTCCACCTGTGTCCCTCATTGCACCTCAGGGAAAAGATGTTTTAAATATGTGGGTTTTCCATCCAGACGAAGGTGGTCACTCTCCACCCCCACCCCTTTCTGATTTTTATTTCTGTTCTTTTCCTTGACTAGTACCCTGTTTAGGGAGCTTCTAGAGCAGGGAGAATTTCAGCGTCCCTCTCCCCTTCCCACCCACACATCGCATGTTTCATGTGTAGCTTATGTTAGTAATCCGGGAGGAAAAAGAACCGCTTCTATTTATATTTTAGATTTCTCTTACCCACTTGCAGCGCCAGTAGGAGGCTCTGAAATTAGGAAGGTCTTAATTGGCGACAATGTCATATTTTTGGTTGGATTTGGTTGGGCTGTGGGGGGGACCCTGCTAGTGCAAAAAGTACATCTCCCCGTGTTGAGATTTGTGTCTATGATTGTTTTCCCTTGAGTCGTGTAAGACAGTGACTAATTTAGTGACTCTGTCTACCTGTCGGGAGAGCCACCACCTGTGCCCGCCGCCACCCAGCTATGGCAAGGCTGTGAGAGGTGGCTCTGCTTCCAGTGGATTCAATAAGAACTGCCGTCTATATTTAACTGCCATGGAAGTAGAATTAATTAGCTCTCATGAGACAGACTTTCTTTTAAAATTCTTGCATGATTCCTGGGCAGATGCATCTTTGTGTTTGTATGACGAGTGAGGCCAGTTTCAGCATCTGTTTCCTGAGTTGGGAAGTTCGAGGGAGGCCAATTTCAGCATCTGTTTCCTGAGTTGGGGAGTTCGGAGCCCAGTCTTGGTTTCCAAAAGGAGGACCCGGTGAGAAGCGGGGTCCCAGAGAGCCTGTCCCTGTACGCCATTCATTACTGCAAGGCTGGGGTGGCCTTTCCAGGCGGCACCAACCTGTCCAGACGGGTCCGAACTGTTTCATTTTCTTTAAGGGGGGGAAACTTTTTCTCTTAGTCCAGGGAGGTTTGGTTTGGTTTGGACTTCAGCTCGATTTGTTTCTGTCTGTTAACAGAAATATTTTTTAAAAAATTTAAAATGTGAAACGAAAGTGTATCCTTAGCTTTGTACGCTATATAACCTGAGGTGCACCACACGCACACTCTTATTTCCTTCTCATAACCAAGGGGCCACTACGCATCTTCATTGACACAGGTGCCCAGAGGTTAAACCTGATTGGTAAACCCGGTGGCGTACGTAGTAGTTACTCACCAGACTGCTCACCACAGGGTCC